TTTGTATCAGCAGAATTGCAATTAGCTTTTGGAGCCTTCGGCGGTAGTATTGTGGAACATTATGTATTAAAGAGAGACAGACCGACAAAAAGGAGAGACAGACAGACAGAAAGACAAAAAGAATGTTAGGCTAGAATTGAAGTGATTTGCCGGATCTCTAGTTACCCCGCAAAATGATTACAGTTAATGGTTCATGTATTCGTTCTGGTGAGTTTTCTATTAAAACTACCCTTACAAACGTCCCAAATCAATCATCAAGTCCCGTTCAAAAAGTTGTGTAAACATTAAACCAAAGAAATTTTAATTCCTTGGTAGACGGATTTTTAACGAGAGGGTTGAATTGAAATCGTTGAAGTGAACACTAAAAGTCTGCAAGTTGACAAAATCATACTAAAAAGTTATCGGTAATAAAAAAAAATTGTAATCGTTCGGCCAAACTGATGTATTCTTGCTTACGAGAAAAAGTAAACACAACAACTAAATAAAAATAACAAATAATTTACTATAATAATCAATAAATATTACAAATTAGGACAAACGACCTATCCCAATACAATTTTAACCACCAATTTCCATTAGGTAAGTTTTTTGTTATACTTAAGTGCCGGTGTTATTATCAGATACTTGGCCGAATCCTACAAAAATGTACCGGATCTAAACCGGGTACCCAGCCTATCTACAAGGTGAGCAGAAAGATATTTGTATCTGCGCTGNTCTCTTCTGTCTTCATTTCGTCCGTCTCATCTTTCTCACCCGAACCACCACCCACCCATTCCCACGATTCCTGAAAGCAGGCTGAAGAGGGCCTTCCGCCCTACCTTTTGACATAGTCCGGAGGGACTGCTCGCCCACCAGCATTACTGGCTGGTGGGAATGAAACACCCAAAAGTTTCTTTTTTTTGTCCAACCAGTCTTAGGGCTGACGATTTTATGATGATATGACATGAAAACACGCTCATCACACTGCGCTTCACCGATTCCACTCACTTTTACACACAATTTATCCGAGTGTTAGCGTCCCGTAGCTGTCATCCTAGCTGTAAAAGTATTGGTGGGACCGTGGTTATCCAAATAGTTAAAACTTTACTCAAAATTGTATCCATCGATTTTCAAAATAGTCTAACACATCACGGGACCTTCGACCTTTCACTCAATTGCTTATGGTGAGATCTCCTTTTCAAATAGAAACATCCAGATTAGCTGGATTGAATGTAGCTCGCTAGCTTGTATATATTTGGGGCTTTAAGATAGCATGTGAGGATGTAGAGAGGTGTGGTGCGAGCCTTCGAAGTAGTGCGCAGAGCGGCCTCAATAATGTAAAAGGTACCTCGAAAATTTATTTGGTCTACTGCTCAACAGAGAACGGTCAGCAATGGCGATTTTGCACAAATTATAATATTTATTAATTTTTCGTAATTAGGTCGTAAAACTACATAAATATGTAATTTTTTTGGCAGGTCTTCAGCACCTAAACCTGAATCTGATTGTCGCGCTAATAGTAAATAAATTACAATTCATCGTTGTATTGTATAGCCCACTCAGCTGGTTCATTTATGTAAGAAGTTAAATGTATTCTAAGCTGACAAAAATGTTCAAGATTAAAATGAGGTAAAAGTGTGTCCGGCCTACGTAACTTCCGAAAGGGAAATCCTGTAAACTGAGCGGCTATAAAAGATCGTGCGTCAAGACGGTATCGGCATGCCTTTCGCTTTAAATATAATATAACAAAATGCGTTTCTTTTGTACGAAACTTTCTAAAAACTGTCAGGTTCTTGCCGCTACGTCCGCTGTCTGTCGCGACTCGATGTGCTATTTCGCGCGAACTAAACGCTGTATCAAATATCACACAATGGGACATTTGTTGTATAACACGCAGTGCATCTGGCGTTTAAGTATTTTTCTTTTATCCATTCCATAGATGTAATATCGCAACTACTCATTTCGTTAATACACTTATTTTTTTTGTTTATCTAAATTTGTGCAAAATTTTGTTTCATTGCAACTTCCTGATGGTACCAAATCGGTTACAATTATGCTCGCTTTGATGAGTAGTTAATAATAGAAGGAAGATTGACTCGAAGATTAAAGGATGACCGCTTGAATTAATTCCAAATAGTCACAGTCAATGTTAACTAAAGAGTTCAGGAAAAGAATTATTAAGGCTTCGTTGATAACATGCAAAAATGGGACAGAAATCCATTTAGAGTTACATATTATTTAAGTAACGCAAAATTCATACCCTGTCTCAATAATAAACATTCTTTAATATTCCATTGACTGTAGGAAGACCACAATCGTAGATTTTAAAAAAAATTGGAGTCTACTTTCGACTTTCGCTTTAACTTCTTATTTAATTATCCGCAAGGACAGAAAACGATCGACTAATCTATAATTATAAAAGCAAGACACCTCTTCCCGGGGGTTTGCCGTTTGAACCAACAAAATTTTTTCGAGTACTTGCCCTGAAAATTTGGCCATCCAATTGATCAAAGCCTCAGGTTTTGCTGGGAATACCCCACTCTCTTTCCTCGGTGTGTAGTGTCCTATTCTATTCTTCTACGAAGGCGCAGAAGGGCGAAACATGTTTTTTTTGAAATTTCGACTTGCAACTTATTGAATCATAACGTAAAGTAACTTAACTCAGTCCCGCCCTAAGCTATTGCAATTTTAATAAAGGACAAGAATACTACAACAATAATTCCGTTCGTGTTGTCTTTATCTACTGTAACGTTATGATTACAACTAAACGAATGAAAGCCTTAAGTTTAATTGGCTGATCCTAAAATCATAATTTTTGGGGTAAGTAAAGACAACACGAACGAAGTGAATATTGCCAGAGTCGTGTGCCTTTTTGTTTACACGGTTGAACTAAACCTAATCTAACCTAAAAAGCAATTGAATGACGGGTAAAATCATGATTCTGGCCGAAAGGTAATGATCTAAATAAATTGGTAGATCCAGGCGTTTCATCAGTCGACACACTTTAGTTGTACTGCATCATAATTCTACGATACCATTCCGGCTGTGAAAAATTAAGCTGTTACTCAGCTGGGTAACTCAATATTGAACTCGAAATTTCCTGTTACAAGTCGAAATTTCCAGTTACAAGTAGAAAATTTCGATTATCTACAAGTCGAAATTTCGAGTTGCGAGCCGAAATTTGGAATTATAACTGCAAATTTAAAAAAAGTTATGTTTGGCCCTTCTACGCTTTCGTATTTTTTTAATTTAGAAATGGAAAAAATAACTGTGGAAAGCAATTATGTACGCTTGTGTTTTTTATTTTCAACAATAAACTGTAGGAACCTATTGTTCATCTGAAATAATTGCGTAGGCACACAGTATAATGCAAATTAAACCACACTACAATGCTTTCACTTAACGGTAAGTGCTTTGTTAGCGGATTTAAAAATGCGGTTTCAAACGCAAGTTGACGCTTTAAATATTCAATTTTGATCGAAGTTAAAAAAGAAAAAATAGCAGAATAGGTCTGGGCAATTATTTATCATAAAACGTAGGATGATACAAATGACTGGTCGCTATAAATTGCTGTCCTTTTCAAATACATGACCATTTAATTAATTTCAAAAGTGCTAAAACACAATTTGTGAAAATTTCTAATTATTCTTATTAAAAGTTTTGGTGATTAGTACTTAAGTCAACGACCCTGCAAAGAATCTAGGCACTTAAGGGTTGGAAGGTTCATATTTGTGTGAAGAACTAACACCAAATATAAACCTTCTAACCCTTAAATGCCTATATTCTTTGCTTAGTCATATTAAAACTAAGAGGAAGAGATGGAGAATAAATACTTGGCAAATTTGATAGAGAAAAACGTTTTACAGATTCGTCGGTGAACAATGTTTTCAAGTGACATTAAAGTGTATTATGGAATAGGTTTTCCAATATTATAAGTTTTCACAAATGTATTACCGGCAAATTAAACAAATTCAGAAGACATTATTAGTACGTGTTCTATTAACTGTGCCTAATATACAGTATGTGTTTTTTTAATTCAACAAACAAAAACTGCGTAGGTATATTTGTTAGCAGCCAAAAATGTGCATTTTTATTTATTAACTAGCTGACTTGGAAAACTTCGTACTGACTCAATCGATAAATAAAAGACCTAAACTATTGATTGTCAAATGTCAAATATTATGGTTGCGTTCAGAAATTTAATTTGTGACAAAACTTAAGATTTATCAATCTACTTAAAAATAATCTGAAGATAGGTAACAACTTTCATATTTATTCACCTTTTAAACCTTCTCTGGACTTCCACAAATAATTCAAGACTAAAATTAGCCAAATTGCTCCATCCGTTCTCGAGTTTTAGCGACACTAACGAACAGCAATTCATTTTTAGGTAAAGGTCTAGATGATGGCCCCCATCAATATGCCAATTTTTATACATTTCTAGGCATGTCAATATTTATATAGTCATTCTTAAATGATATTCAAAGGTAAAACTAATGGAAAAATACATAAAAATATTGAGAAAGTTATATAAAACGTTATTTAAATATCTTTATCAATAGGGTAGGTTAGGTTAGGTTAGGTTATCGGGTTTTGTTCAAGTGACCACCCTCTTTCGATCCCCCACCTCCACCCGCTTGAAAATATTTTTTTTATTGAATTTTATTTGAATTATAGTGTATGAAAATTGTCAAAATAATCAACTTTCGACCCCCATAACTTTTTATGGGGGTGAGACCGCCGCAAATTTTTTATGGGGTTTTACTCAGGTGACCACCCTCTTTTTTTTGAGGTTTTTGACAATTACACACTGCTTAAAAGGTATTCTGAAATTTCTTAAAGAATGCCTCCTGTCTTCCTTTATTATACTATATGTATAGTTACCAAACTGTCATAATTTTAATTTTTATAACTTGAATTTAAAGATTTCCAGTAGGCAGTCTTGTTATTTCATGAAAAATTTTTAGATATTGTTTTCACACATTTAAAGGATTAGTAATACTGTGTCCTTTTTCTTTCAGGCCTTCCATCAGTTTAGTGTTATCGTTTTAAAGTTTACAACTTTATATTGAGAAGTAATATTTAAGGTAAGAATCTTTAATTTTATTTTGTACATACATGTATAGTGTATGATACGTATTCTTTAAGTAGGCGAATCTATAAGTTACGTTTATGACGTACATGAACAAAGTTACGCCTTTAAAAACATTCTAACGTAATTTTTCACGCTCGAAACTTTAGTAGTTTCATGGTGATGCCGCTGTGTTAATAAAGATTCGTTGCCAGTTTGTTTTCTACAGATTATACAACACTTAACGCTTTTAATATAATCGCTTATGGTTATTATTCGATCTTTTTTTGGTAACATGAATTTCACCAAAAAACTTGTCATTAGAAATATGGGTGCGGTATGCTTTGAATTGGAAAAGCTTCTTAGTCATCAGATTGAGTTATTTTCTTTTCAGGGTTCCGAACTTAAAACGGTCCCCTTTATAAGGTGTAACATGTTAGCACCATTTTTTTGGGATTTTTCTGGCAAATCTTGTTAGTTTTACAATTAAAATAAATCATAATTCAATCTGTGCAAATTTGGATGCTAAAAATATCGTCTACATTACTTACACTACTTGAAAAACGCCGGAAATGTAAAGTATAAGCAGTTTCTTCCTTACGTGGTAATTTCAAGCTAGTCGTTCATTTTTAAGTGAATAATTAAAATTTATATCCATTTGAATCATTTTATTAAAGAAGTCAAAATGATGTCGTAATGTAAAAACATAATAATAATTATATATCAAAATATTCTCAGCAGTGATATTATTATGTATTACGCTTACGTTGGCAATAACCATGCCCTTGAAGAGTATTTTAAATCGTTCTTATCTTAATTTGTCTGCTTCATGCCATACTTGATGTGCCTCTTGTTCCATTTTTATTATGGGTATTATATAAATTATCCAAAAGGATTACATCAGCTTGCCGCTTACTCATATTATTTATAGTTGAGATACACATTTGGTTTTACGTTACGTTTGATTTAACAGAAAATTCTTGCCAAATATCTCTATTCTTTCGACGGTTTTAACATTTTTGTCCTGCATTCTTATTATGAAAACTGCATTTCAAAGGAATGTGACATATAGAATTTGATGGAAAATTGAACATACGAGGNTGGGTTGTTCTAGTTTTAAGGAAATGCAAAGATAAGCTCAGGATAGGAAAGTGTGGAGGTGCGTGTCCAAGCAGTATTATGATTGACGACCTTATGATGATGATGATGATGATATATACGCTCTTTCTTTTTTCTATCATTTTCTCAAATAATACAATGAAGTGATTCTAACTGAGCACAAAATCTACAATTAAGACCGTAATATCCGTACCATACATCTGGTGTGTTTTTACTCATGAATTTCTCTTACAAAGCAACTTCTCAGCCAAAAAATACCTAGTCAAGTAAATTCAAAGGCCGATTTCCAATAGTTATACGGCCACGGCTTTTCATAGAAAATTTTTATCTTTCGCATATGTTAGTAAACCAGATGTTATAACTTAATACTATCGCGGTAAATTTACGCCCATTACATCGTTTATTTTTCGCGTTTTGAAGTATTAATACGTGATAAGAATTGAGTAGCGAATTAACTTTTATGGGTTATTTTAACGCTTTGTATCAGCAGAATTGCAATTAGCTTTTGGAGCCTTCGGCGGTAGTATTGTGGAACATTATGTATTAAAGAGAGACAGACCGACAAAAAGGAGAGACAGACAGACAGAAAGACAAAAAGAATGTTAGGCTAGAATTGAAGTGATTTGCCGGATCTCTAGTTACCCCGCAAAATGATTACAGTTAATGGTTCATGTATTCGTTCTGGTGAGTTTTCTATTAAAACTACCCTTACAAACGTCCCAAATCAATCATCAAGTCCCGTTCAAAAAGTTGTGTAAACATTAAACCAAAGAAATTTTAATTCCTTGGTAGACGGATTTTTAACGAGAGGGTTGAATTGAAATCGTTGAAGTGAACACTAAAAGTCTGCAAGTTGACAAAATCATACTAAAAAGTTATCGGTAATAAAAAAAAATTGTAATCGTTCGGCCAAACTGATGTATTCTTGCTTACGAGAAAAAGTAAACACAACAACTAAATAAAAATAACAAATAATTTACTATAATAATCAATAAATATTACAAATTAGGACAAACGACCTATCCCAATACAATTTTAACCACCAATTTCCATTAGGTAAGTTTTTTGTTATACTTAAGTGCCGGTGTTATTATCAGATACTTGGCCGAATCCTACAAAAATGTACCGGATCTAAACCGGGTACCCAGCCTATCTACAAGGTGAGCAGAAAGATATTTGTATCTGCGCTGTCCTTGTGACGGCGCGGCTCGGAGGGGTGATAGGTGATAAGTTGTTTCACTACTTTTTGAAGATTTAATGTCCATGGAAATGTACTCGGGAGACCATCGTGCCTGTTATCGCAATGGTGATCCGATGATCATAGCTCAACGATTATATCCATGTCCAAAAAATATTACGTGGACTGTCATGTCTGGTGAAGGCATCATTGGACCGTCTTTTTTTGAAGATCGGCGAGGGCGAACACTTACGGTAAACAGTGACCGGTATTGTGACAACTTTTTGGTTCCACAACTGCAAGAGTTTGGTGGTTTTAATGAGGAAAGATGATTTCAACAAGATGGAGCCATATGCCACACCTCAAACCAATCGCTTGCGGTGGTCAATCAACTTTTCCCAGAAAAAGTGATCTCTCGTCGAGGCACCATCTCCGATCTCACATCTCCTGATTATTTTTTATGGGGATACCATTAAGAGAAGGTGTATGCAAACACGTCATAATCTCTACTACAATTGAAGCAACAATATCTCCACACCGAAATGGCCGCCGTTTCCAGAGAGATGTGTAGACAACTGACGGTTAGAGGAGTACTAGCAGCGCGAGGGTCAACATTTGGACAACATTATCTTTGCTACTTTGTCTAAAATTTAACAAAAAGGATTTCTTCTGACTTGCAGTTTTGTTTTATTGAATTTACAAATACCCCCTACCCTTTCTGGACACTTTGTATAATATAGACTTGTACTTGGCCGGCTATTCCACTGGTTGTTGTTCAGTCAAAGTTCAAAGTTTTTCCGTCTTCGTATACAATTTCCGTTATTATGAACTTTTATTCGCACATCACAAATCACAATTTCCCATGGTTGTTACATTTCCCACTAGCTGATGAACTGATGAAGGAGCTTCGTGCTTATTAAATTACATAGATTTGTTGCTGCAAATTATGTCGAAAGTTGTGCAAATGATAAGCTTTATGTTGTGACACCTTTCTACGGCCGAGCAGTCAGAACGACAGTTACTTACCCAATTGCAACCGCGAAATCGTATTTTTTTATCGTCTCACTAATGACGAGTGTTTACATTGACCGGTCATGCGTTTCCAGAGGACTTTTTCATCGAATTGTGAATAATTGTATTTCTCCTTTAATTAAATGTAACTGTCGCTTCTTTGCATGTTAAAAGTGTGTCAGTAAGTAATGGCAAAATGAACGGAGATAAACATATCTCCCGCGCTGCACTAGCCATTCTCGTAATAATCGGTTTTATTAATGCGGATAATTATTATGAAGGCGTTGTTTTTACTAACTTGAAAATACTTAATTGCTAAATAATTTTAAATCGTGCTTGTTTGTTGCAATTATGTTGCAGTTAAAGTAAAAGACAATAATGTCTCAACTGTTTACATTTTGTAATATTTCATTCCAAAATTATGGCTTCCTTTTCCTGACAAAATGTATAATATCGGGTTGTTCGGAAAGTCATTTCTTTTTTTTCTGGAAATGAAAGACAGTTTTCGTATAATAAACAAATACTTTATTAAATTATATATTGACCGTTCTGGTCCAACACCTTTTGCCATCTTTCTGGTAGTAGCATAATTCCACGCTCATAAAATTTTTGGTCTTTGCTGGCAAAAAACTGATCGAGGAGGTTTTTGACCTCCTCATTTGAGGTGAAGGTTTTACCGTCTAAAAAATTCTGGAGTGACCGGAACAAATAATAATCCGATGGTGCCAGGTCTGGAGAATATGGTGGGTGTAGCATTGTATCACATTCAAGCTGTAAAAGCTTTTGACGAGTGACCAAACTTGTGTGCGGTCTCGCGTTGTCTTGGTGAAAAACTACACCTTTCCTGTTGATTAGTTCTGACCTTTTCTGTTGAAGTGCATCATTCAGTTTGTCCAGCTGATGACAGTAGACTTCCGAATTAATCGTTGTGTTTCCGGTAAAAGCTCAAAAAAAAACGATTCCTTTAAAATCCCACCAAACAGACAGCATCACCTTTTTTTGGTGAATATCGGCTTTGGAAATGGTTTGAGCCGGTTCATCTTTTTTGCTCCATGACCTCTTGCGTTTGACGTTGTTGTATACAACCCATTTTTCGTACCCAGTGATGATGCGCATCAAAAACGGATCATTTTCGTGACGTTTGAGAAGCGAATCGCAGACGTCAATGCGGCGACACAGATTTCTCTCTGTGAGAACATGGGGAACCCATACATCGAGTTTCGAGGATAATCCCAGGCCTTTCAAGTGGTCATAAACTGTTGAATTTGATAAATTTAACCTCAATCCGATCTCACGTGTTCTTATTCGCCGGTTCACATCAACTTATGCCTTTATCGCGTCTTAATCAGCTTCAACCGGCCTTCCCGAACGTGGTGCATCTTCGACATCAAAATTGCCGGATCGAAATTTAGCGAACCAGTTCTGGCACTGGCGTACTGTCAACACACCTTCTCCATACACATCAGTCAATTTCTTTCTGGCTTGAACAGCATTTTTACCCTTTCTGTAGTAAAACAGTAAGATATGTCGAAAATGCTGCTTATCGCTCTCCATATTTAAAAGGGCACCAACCAAAAACTACTACGTAGAATTAATTGGAATTTTTCACACACAAGCCTTGCTATATGAGCTCTCAAAGCATATAAAAATTATACGGCTTAAATGTGAAGTTGGGTGCAAAAGAATACAATTAAGTCCTCTGTCGGGGA